CTGTGTCCTCACCTGGTGGGAAGACAGCTGTGTAGTTCTGTGGCCTCACCTTTTCAGGATTCTAATCCCATTCATAATGGCTCTACCCTCACTGCATTGGCCCTAGAGTATCAGCATGTGAATGGGGAGGGGGGCCCAAAACACTGTTCATTGTAGTGCAGGTGTTTTCCTGGAGTTGAGTTGATTCCCCCCTAATGTCCCTCCTTCGTCTCCCCACCTTCATTTCCCCTGCCACTTCCTTCACTGATTCTTTTCTGTCTCACCTGGATTATCATAGTTTAAAATTGATAATCTTTTCAAAAATGTTGTACCCACTGGGCAGGGCCTCTGGCTCAAGGACTGGGGTGCTAGCCCCATATACCGGAGGTGGCAGATTCAAACCTGGCCCTGGGCCAAAAACTGCAAAAGAAAAAAAATGTTGTACTCACCAACCACCCTTCCCATGGCTGTCTCTAAGGTACTAATTTAGTGTCTCTCCTGCTAAACTACTTAAATGGTTTTCCTTTTGCAGTGAGTTTCCAGCCACTATGTCCTAACACACTGCCATGTCACAATCTGTTGTGTAGTGATAGGTGTGTCAGACCACTTATGCTGTGTCTCGTGTAAATAAGTCCAAAAGGAGATAAAATCGAGGATGGTGCCATATATGTAAATTATCTCTGAAATGATCCATGAAATCAACAGTGAGGACAGAGTGGCTGGAGGGCCCATTTCCCTTACCCACTCTCTACAGCTAGAAAGAGCGTATTCAGACTAGACCTCGCCAGAGAGAGAAGCATGGTACTTTCCTCCAGAATGTTTTCATTATGTTACTGCTCTTTTCTTGCTTAGTCGCTTTTATTTATGCTTTTTGTTGGAAATGTTAGTGGTTTGTTTGTTAATAAAGATATTAGAGCTTGGGTTGTACTTTTCTTTTTGTTTTCGTTTTTTTTTTTTAATTGAATGGTAACTATGTACATTAATGCACTTCTGGGGTTACAGTGTGGGGTTTTCACACACAATCTGAAACACTTCCATCAAACTGGTTAACATAGCCTTCGTGTCATTTTCTTAGTTGTACTTTTCATATACAGATGTTATATGTTTTATTTGTCATGTCATGAACTGACTGTAATGCAGCACAGACAATCTGGTATGACATCAACTTTACAATCGTCTTTTAAAAAGGTCTGGAAAGAGCAAGGCCTGGTTGTTGTTGATTACAACAACACTGCTTTATCCATTTAAAAGCATTTTTATTCTGAATTCCTGTTTTCCTTCAAATAGATAAGCATTTGTATGAGAATATTGAGTTGAGGTATTTAAGAGTCACCTAATTTTTCTCTTTATTGTACAGGGTTTGTGAAGGCTATTCATAATTAATTCTAAAGGGGCATATTAAACAGTAGTATTAGGCATTACTGTTAATTGAATGAAGCGTTAGTCTTGAATACCTCATTCCAAGTATAGGTCTCAAAGCCAACAGAATATCCAAAATTAAGGAAATCTCCGGGGATAATAACCACAGAGAAGCTAAGCCCACCTAGGCCTAAATCCTGGGCTAAGGGCCTCCTTTCACAAGTTCAGGAGAGACTTGTGGGAAACCATGCTTAAAAAAAAAACAAATGAATCAAGTTTTTGAAAGCCACAAGAACAACACAGAGTGAAGCAGCTGATACTGTGGATTAGAGTTGGATACCAGGCAGAACGATGACCTCCTGGAACACAGATTCACCAATCCTCGAAAAAGAAAAAAAAGACATCATTCAGTGTTTCTGTAATGTACTGTTTACAGTACAGTATCCAGTTTCCTATAAAAATATTAAACGTAATTAAACAGGAAGGTGTGATTTATACCCAGTAAAAAGGCAGCTAATAGAAACTGTCCCCAAGCCCAGAAGTAAATTTAGCAAAGACTTCAAAGCAGTGGTTTTAAATATGTTCAGTGAGTGAAAGGAAAATACAGCTTCAGTGAATAAACAGATGATCTGAGCAGAGCAATGGACACTTAAAAAAATATGACAAGCAAACCTGGAAATCCCAGAGTGTAAAATATAATTAATAAAAGAAAAAAATTAGCTAAAAATGGGCTCAAAAGCAGTTTGGAAATGTCAGAAGAAAGAGCAAATCTCAGGACTAAGTAGAAACTTCCCTGTCCAAAGAACAGGAAAAAAGAAAAAGGAATAGAACCTGACCCCTGTAAAGTTGTCCAACAAACATATCCTTGCCATCCTGAAAGGAGACGAGGAGAGACATAAAAATATTTGAAGAAATAACAGCTGAAAACTTCCCAAGTTTAGTGAAAGACATTACACATGTAAGAAGCTTTCAGAGCCCCAAGAAGATTGAATACAGAAACTCATTCCTGGACGCATCAGAGTCTCAGACAGTTACGGCAACCATTTTGAAAGCAGCCAGAGGAAAGTGGTACTTGTTTACACTGATAGTATTTTTTGCTGATGATACAATTTGAGTTTTTAAGAAAGAATTTTGGAAAACTTCTATGTACCAGTCTTTCCTGGTATTTACAAGACTTTTTATAAAAATGACATTGGAAATATTATTAACAAATGTGATTTTTAAAAAGTTACATAATGTGTCAACATTTGGAGACCCATATGAAGAGGATCTGCACAGTTCTCAGTGAACAGGTATTTTTCAAGTGACCAGTACCTGGTGTTATAAAATGATCCACTGGTTAAAGAGTCATTGAAAGTACCAGATAGACTAATGGATGTTAGCATAACAAGTACAGAATGTTAATTAGTATTCACATTCTGTATTGCAACTGCTCTTTAAGAAACTACCACTCATCACAGTTTGTTATGGTCTCAGAAGAGAGTAACTGCATTGTCTGAAGAGATTATAATATTACTGTTCCCTTTTCCAATTACCTGTCCGTGAGAGGTCGTGTTTTCTTCATATACTTCAACCAGAGCAACCTGTTGCAACAGACTGAACGCAGAGCAGATTGGAGAGTTCATTATCTTATTATAAGCCAGATAGTGGGGATTTACAAAGCTATAAGATTATGTTCCTTAGTTTTAGAAATTATAGCATATTTTTCATAAAAATGTGCTTCTGTATATTAATATGTAGTGAATTTATTAAGTGAATCAGTAAATATACCTTTTTTTTTTTTTTTTTGAGATAGAGCCTCAAGCTGTCCCCCTGGGTAGAGTGCCGTGGCATAGCTCACAGCAACCTCCAACTCCTGGGCTCAAGCGAGTCTCCTGCCTCTGCCTCCCAAGTTGCTGAGACCACAGGTGCCCGCCACAACGCCTGGCTATTTTTTTTCAGTTGCAGCCGTCATTGTTGTTTGGTGGGCCTGGGCTGGATTCGAACCCACCACCTTAGGTGTATGTGGCTGGTGCCTTAGCCACTTGAGCCACAGGCGCCGAGCCAGTAAACATACCTTTTAAGATTATGACTTTTAATTTCTAATTCAGTAAATGTCAGATCCATTAACGTAAGTTTTTTGGAGTCTTCCATTCTTTTTAATAATAAAAGTGTCCTCAGACCAAAAGGTCAACAACTTTCTAGTTCCCTCCACCTCCACCTGCCGACTGCACATTCCTTTAAGAGCATCAGATTGAGAAAATGGAATGTCTTGGAACATAGGGCATTAGTGTTCTTGAACATATGATGGCATTCAGTTTTTGTTGGTATCTTTGATTATTTTCAAGTAGACAATAAAATAAAATAATGCTGCAAGTGTGCAGCTTCCCGCTTCGAAGAGCAACCTCCTTCCATTTCTTTCCAGAAACTTTTTATTTTTACCAGGGAGCTTTATCAGGAAAGCAATAAGGGACTTTTGCAGTGATGACAATCCTTATTTTCTTTACTACTTCTGCTTTTTGTTATGTTTGGAGATCATCTAAGGGAGAGCTTTTCAAAACATGCTCACTAAGGACTTCTGTAGTGAATAGAAGAGCACAATAGATAGCTATGAGTTGTTATTGAAATTCTGAGAAAGACCATTAATCATTTGAAATCAAAGAATAATTGAAGTTTGTCTCACTTGTGAAAAAGACTTATAAAGATGATAACTGAGAGAAACGTATCTTCAGTTTATTTTTATAGTACTTATAATTTTCTGTTAAATGCATATGCTAATGCTTGTTTGAGGTTACTAGGTGACGAAACCAGTCTATAAGAAGTAAACTTGTTGTAAGTGATGTTCATAGCATAAACATATAGTAAACTTAATATTGCATTACTTTGTTCTTTGACAAAAATAAATTAACCACCAAAAAGCAAGGCCAAGGAAAGCTACCTGTTTGCATGAAAGTGAATAGATGTCAGCCTCATCTGACACCCCTTTCCCATCCATTACTGCTTTTCTTTCTTCACAGTGTTCTCCCCCATTCCCATATTCTTGTAACTTTATACTTGCATTTGAATTTTGGAGAATCCTCACTATAAACTTGTACAGATCTGGTTGTTTTTCTAAGACTTATTGTCTTAAATTGTACAAATGCTACTGTATTCTTACCTCTGGTCTTGCATGTTTTTACCTAATACTTTTGGTAGTTTTGAAACTTAGACATGTGAACAGGAGCACTAAAGCAACTTTACAATTTTTTTCTTTAGTTATTATTTTCTTTATAGATGGGGTCTTGCAGTGTTGCCCAGGCTGGAGTACAGTGTCTGTTCATAGGGGTGATCATTGGTTTGTGCAGCCTCAAACTCCAGGACTACAGGAGTGTGCCACAGCACCTGGGTTTTATTTCTCTGATAATTGAGTTATGTGGAAATAATAAACCAAACAGTGTTCATCTATATTTAGTTTCATGGACTCAGTAGTGATTTACTTCTATTTTATTTTTTAAATGACATGGATTTTCTTTCTCTTTGCAAATAGTTTTGGTTCTTCTAAAAGTCATAGAAAGGCCTTTACCAGAATAGAAGGCTTCTAATTTGAGGATGTCAATTAGAAGGGTGTCTATTTGTGTCTGAGAATAAAACCTGATTATTAATTAGCTGATTCTTAAACCAGGATTTCCCTTGTGTTTCCTCAGGCCAGAGATGAAGAAGAAGCTTTTCTGGATTGGACTGATGATGAGGATGAATTTGACCCGAGCACGCTGCCAGATCCAGATAAGTACAGAAGCTCTGAAGAGTCAGATGGTGACCATATGACAAGTAAAACTAGGTACGTTTCTGCTGTTCTTATCGGGCACATACTTAAATACCCGTAGGGGTCTTCTGATGCATCCAAGATAAGTAACTAAAAATACTATTTGAAGAGATTTTTGTTTTTACCTTTACCAATATCTTGGAAAATCCTGCTGTGGTTTTTATTCATTTTGCCTTAGGTTGTTATAAAAATATCCCATGCTTTTCTTACCGCATCGGGGCTTTTTTTATTGTTGTAATCCCTGTTAAACAAACATAAGTCTGATAGGAGTTGTTTTCTTTTTCTTTTTTCCCCCTCATCTCTCTGAGTCCTTTGTGCTCAAGTGTTTGATGTATTAAGGTATGTTCATTGCAAACAGTGGTAAGATTTTATTTTGATGCACCGATAAAGAACTCTATTGAGAGTGCTGGTAAAAAATTGTCCCTAAATTTTAAAAAAGTAATTTCAGTGTCACATTCCTTTATTTAGAATTAAGTAACAAATAAAATAATGGAAAACTCCTGCATAAACAATCCTTGACAAATTCTTTGAGTTTAAAATCTGTTCATTTGCTATCTATTATCTGTTCACTCCTATGTCTAAAACAAGGAAATGTGATGAATTGAGTAATAGTAAATTGAGTAAATGAATTGAGTAAATGACCTGCTCAGCATTTGTTTTCAAAGTACTGTGTATTGGATCAAATTAAGATTCTGGTGATTTAAAAATTGAGAACATTAAACTTCATGGCTATTCCAAACCAATGAGCCTCTTCAGGCAGAAGGGAGGTACTAATGACAGATAAAGTGATATGATCAGAGGGAAGAGGAACCTTGATGGAACCTCTGAGATGAAGCCCAGGGAGCTTAGAGTGGGAGAAATGGGCCAAATTGCAATGGGAGAGCTGCGGTTTGCTTTTAAATAAGAACAGTGTAATGAATAGACCTCAAAGATTATCCTCCTAGGAAAAAATGGTATAGGGAGGCAGAGTTGCTCTTTTCTCAGATTTTGTGCTCATGCAAATGCAGTGTTTCCATGTGACAGTGGAGACTTGCATTTGCCGTTGGACAAGCGGGTGGTGAACATGTTTGCTGTGTAACATACACGGTGTGTAGACTCCAGCGGTGGACCGATTCACTTTGCTACACAAGAGGTACCACAGTGAAAATAATTTGACGGGGATTTAGAAAAATATGTAAATGTTTTAAAGGCTAAATAATTGAGGTGCAGGGCATATTCCTGTTGATCAGAAATAGACCTTTAGGAGTAAACATACATATTCTGTTTCAAACAGTTGATGTACATGTTTGGGACCAAAGTACAGACCAGTTTGTTGCCCCTTACACTCCTGCGTAAAATCTCTGTCTCAGAGCGGTCTATGGGATCTGTGTTTTGGGAGATGTGATTTAACTTAACACATAACGACTTTAACAACATCAACTTCCAAGTGTCTCTGTGTAATAGGACCCTTGGAGTATTAATGGTTCTTAGACTTCTGCAGCTGTGTTTTGTGTATCTATCTAACACATCTCTTGAAGGTAGTCTTGAAACCATTGTCAGAATGTCAGTAATCCGTATGCTTCTGATTCATATTTGTTTTTTTTTTTTTTTTTGCAGTTTTTGGCTGAGGCTGGGCTTGAACCCGCCACCTCAGGCATATGGGGCCGGTGCCCTACTCCTTTGAGCCACAGGTGCTGCCTCATGTGTGTTTTGTTTTTTTTTTTTAATCACAGTTTCTAGGTCATCTTTCTTTTTTTTTTTTTTTAATTAAATGATAGCTGTATACATTAATGCAAACATGGGGTACAGTGTAGTGTTTTCATATACATTTTGAAATATTTTCATCA